TCTCCTACAGACCCCATCCTGCCCCAGCCCTACCAGGGCCTTCCCGTGCCTCACCCAGGGCTCGGAGCCATCAGCTCATTTCCCTTCATGATTGCAATCAGCCAGCCTACAAGGAGGTTTTCCCTTGGCTGGGCTGATGCAAACACCCGTCGTGGAATCACTTTCTAACAGGGGGTGGCCGGGCCTCTCCCAAGGGATTGGGCAGGACTGTGGCCTGCAGGGGAAGGGCGGGGGGTTCCTGTGATTTCACCTGAAGCAGTTTCTTTAGAGTCAAGGCAAACGTCAAAGGAGACTCCTGGAGGAGGCCCGGGCTCTGCCTGGTTCCCCTGAGAGGCTGTAGGAGCTCTGTGGAGAGCACCAACTTGTCTGTCCTCCACAGGGGCACCCCTCCTGTTGCCCCCCTCCCCCACAATCACATTTGCTTAGAGGAATGTGACTCTGTTCCTCACACACACAATGGGCCATCCTTACTCCCCTCCCTTCCCTTCATGGCCTCCTCCCATTGCCCTGCCTCAGGAGCCTGCCTTTCTACACTCTGGCTTAGTGAAGCCCTGGATTCTCCTAATTTCCTCACCCTCTGACCCCTGGATGCCAGCCCCTCAAGGGCATCCCTAGCAGTCAGCTCACATTCCCTGATCATGCCACCTTCCATGCCTCTAACCCCACCTCCCCAAACCCTCAAGGGCTGACTTCACTTCCTATTTCCTAGGGAATATAGAAGCTGTTGTCCTCTCCTGCCACCAAACCCACCGCAACTTCCCAGCTGGACGGGGCCCACCCAGGCAGCCCTTCCCTGAGCTCTCTGCTCAGGTCGGTGTGATACCTGACGTTGTGATTCCTCCCCATGACCATCCCCTTCAGGCACCCCCTGCATGATCCGCTGTCCAGCTCTCTCACCCATTTCCAGCTCATCTCTAGCAGAAAGATATTCAAGTTTCCCTGCCTGAAAAGATCCCCCTCTGACTGCTTGACCCTTCTAACTGCCTCTGTCTCTCTCTCTCTCTCTCTCTCTCTCTCCTTCTCTTCAGAATAAATCTTTGAAGAGCCATCTATCTCTCTGTCTCACCCTCCCTCATTGCTCAGCCCACTTCCACTGGCTTCTGCCCCCACTATACACTAAAACTGACCCTCCCACACCCCGAGGCTCCAGTGGCCTCCTTGTCCTTTACCCAGGACGATAATCCCAGGGGCCACATCTTATCCTTACCCTACTACTCCCCCCACCACCCACCTGGCCTTACCTCCTAATTTGCCACTTTTCAGTGCTGTTGTGACCCCTCAGCCTCTGGGGTCAGACAGACTTGCTTGCATTCAGTCCTGGTGATGTTGCTTCTTAGCTGCAGGAACTCCACCTCTCTGCGACTCAGTTTCCTTTTCTGTAAAATGGGGTAATCAAAGTCCCTGCCTTGGGGTTCACTGTGAGGATGAAATGAATTAACCATTAAAAAAGAACTTAGTGCCCAGCATTTTAGTAAGTGCTGCTCAGTAAAAGCGAGCTGTTAAAAGTCTCTAACTGAAAAAAAAGAGTCTCTAACTGCATCTGGTTCTTTTGCTCCCCACCAGAATCAACTCACTCCAGCCTTCCCACCATCTGCGTTTCAGAGAATGCCCCAGACTCCTCACCAGCCAACCTGCTGTCCTGATTCTTCCCAACCATTCTCCCCACAGTAGCTAGTCTGGGATTCCTGGGACTCGAACCTTCTAGGGACCACACACACCTGTCCCTGGCTGAAAACCCCCCGCAATGCTTCCAATGCTCCTAGCATGAAGCCTAAACCTACTCCTCCTTTGATAGATTTGATAACTGTTTTTAATACAAGAGGCAAACTACAATGGTCAAGATTTACAATAACAGTAACAACTGTAAAATTTTCTACGCAAAATTTTTCTTTGCTTAGAATACAATCTGAAGCCAGAACTTTCAGAGAAGCCTTGTGGGAATATTCAGCCTCCATAGTTTTCAGTTTCCCCCAGAAAGCCTATTTACATAAAAAGGAAAGTTTTTCTCTATAAGAAATCACATTTTTGTGTGTGTGTATGCACAGGTCCCAAAACTCTTACAGAGAATGTAGCACCAAACCGCAGTTGAGTATTTAAGAAGTCCTGGGTCTCTGGACACAAACCCCTACCTCTGCTTGAGCTGAATATTTTAAATCAGAACTTTTAAAAAAATTTTTATTTTTCTTCCCCATTTTTAAGTTGAAATATAGTTAATGTACAATATTAAATATTACAGATGTACAGTAATTCACTAATTTTGTTATACTCATTTATAGTTATTATAAAATATTGCCTATCCAAATATATCTGTTATGAAATATACCCTTGTAGCTTATTTTATACCTAATAGCTTGTACCTCTTAATCCCCTACTTCTATATTGCCCCTCCCCGCTTTTCTCTCTTTGCCAGTAGCCACTAGTATGTTTTCTGTATTTGTGAATCTGCTTCTTTTTCTGTTATATTCACTAGTTTGTTCTATTTTTTAGATTCCACATTAGTAATATTATACAGTATTTCTCTTTCTCTGTCTGACTTATTTCATTTAACATAATGCCCTCCAAGTCCATTCATGTTGTTTCAAATGGCAAAATGTCATTCTTTTTTATGGCTGAATAATAGAGGAGAGTGAAAAAGTTGGCTTAAAGCTCAACATTCAGAAAACTAAGATCATGGCATCTGGTCCCATCACCTCATGGGAAATAGATGGGGAAACAGAGGAAACAGTGTCAGACTTTATTTTGGGGGGCTCCAAAATAACTGCAGATGGTGATTGCAGGCATGAAACTAAAAGACGCTTACTCCTTGGAAGGAGAGTTATGACCAACCTAGATAGCATATTAAAAATAAGAGACATTACTTTGCCAACAAAGGTCTGTCTAGTCAAGGTTATGGTTTTTCCAGTGGTCATGTATGGATGTGAGAGTTGGACTGTGAAGAAAGCTGAGTGCTGAAGAATTGATGCTTTTGAACTGCAGTGCTGGAGAAGACTCTTGAGAGTCTCTTGGACTGCAAGGAGATCCAACCAGTCCATCCTAAAGGAGATCAGTCCTGGGTGTTCATTGGAAGGACTGATGCTGAAGCTGAATCACCAATACTTTGGCCACCTCATGCGAAGAGTTGACTCATTGGAAAAGACCCTGATGCTGGGAGGGATTAGGGGCAGGGGGAGAAGGGGACGACAGAGGATGAGATGGTTGGATGGCATCACCGACACACACACACGCACACACACATACGTGCTAAGTCACTTCAGTCACATCCAACTCTTTGTGACCCTATGGATTGTAGCCCACCAGGTTCCTTTGTCCATGAGATTCTCTAGGCAAGATTAGTGGAGTGGGTTGCCATATTCTCCTCCAGGGGATCTTCCCAACCCAAGGATCAAACTTGCATCTACTGTGGCTCCTGCACTGCAGTAGATTCTTTACCACTGAGCCACCAGGGAAACCTATATATGTGTATGTGTATATATATATATATCATTACACACATATATCACATTTTCTTTATCCCTTCATCTGCTGAGGGACATTTAGGCTGCTTCCATAACCTGGTAATTAAATCAGAACTTACTAAATGTCATGTGAATTACCTGAGGACCTGGTCAAAAGGCAATTCTGAATCAGAAAGTCTGGGGTGAAACTTGAGGGTCTGCACTTCACACAAGCCCCCAGCCAATGCTGAAGCTGCAGTTTTGAGGTCCAAGCTGAATAGGAAGGCTTTACATCTATCTCTACCCAAAAGATTGTGCATCTCTTAAGGAGAGGGACCATGTGTGCTTTATTCACAATGCCTGCACATAGCAAGTGCTTCATATAAGTTTGTTGAATGAATTGTTCTTGATGCGTATCCAGTCCTCAGCCTCCTTATGTCTTTCTGTTGTCTAATTTCACTCATGCCTTTTAGACTCTCCAGTTGCTTTCTGAGGATGCTCTGGGCCCAGATCCGAGAGCTGAGCCAGGGGCCTACGGCCACAGGCATGTTGTCATGACGGCCTTACATCACAGGCTCTTCACCTGCCTCTGCTGCAGCCACATCCTGGTCCTTGTCTTCAGCAGATCTGCTCCTGCTTAGAAGCCTGACACACCCAAATTCCCCTGCCTCAGCATAACCTCCTATCCTTCATCTCCCCACACTGACACTGATCACATCACACTGCACCCCAGCCCCTGGCTTTTCCATCCTGACTCTCTTCTTCCTCCCACCGCAGGTCCAGTGATCTCAAAGAACTCTTTCCCATGTCCCTGTGACACCCCTTTACCAAAAGCCCCTGCCCTGAGCCTATGTTAGGGCCTGACATGCCCATGGGGCAGGGGGTCACCTCTTCTTCCAGGGCCTGCCCTCTGGGCCCCCCACCCTCCGAGTCTGCCTTCTTCCTATCTGGGTGCTGCTTCTCTGGTCCTTTGAGGACCAACCCCCGCCAGGGTCTGCCCTGTTCAGCAAACCCTTCCCGCCAACATGCATCAGCCAAATCACCTTCAGAACAGACTGGGATCCAGACCCCTGCAACACAACTCTCTCCTTTATTCACTGGCTTCCAGATAAATTCCTGCCTGCTCCACTGGGCCTTCACCTGGCCACCCATTCAGAACGAGGCAGTCCAGGTGGGGTGGGCAGCAGAAGGTCAGGGCTGTTCAGGGCATGGCAAGACCGCATCCCACGGGGCAGGAGCTCAGAGTCAGGGGACCCCTCACCTGTCAAGAGAGGATCTCTCACCTATCCCCACCCTGCCCAGTGACCTGCCTGTCTCAGCCTCCTTGGCAAGATAAGGTGATACCCTTTGAGTAAGTTTTTTTTTTCAAGTTTCACTGTTCTTGAGTGCTAGAAAGTGATGAATAAGTCTGTGGTTTGCTATGGAGGTTCCATGTCAGATAAAGATTCTTCCGAAGCCCGCCCTCCCCTCGCTTCCCCGGGGCATGGGCACGCTGTATAAAAGTCGGAGGCTGTCTTGGATGCTTCAGAACGCCACGAAGGACCTGGACAAGACAGAGTCCATCCTGCCAGCCCAAACATGAGCAGTCTCTCCATCTTGCATCTGCTCCTGCTCCTGCTCGCACTCCATGCCCCTCAGGCAAAGGGGTTGCCTGTCACGACATCGAGGTCTCGATATTCTGTCTTGATGAAGGAAATTATGAATGACCTAGAGAAAATAACTACGACTCCAACAGTGAGTAGCGGGGATAAGGTTGGCAAGGGGCAGGAAAGGGCTGGCAGGTGCCTTGGGCGAATAGGACTCAGGAGCTCGCTCTCTCTCTGCCTCAACAGGACTCCTTGAGCTCAGATGAGAAGAATTTCCTGACGGTAAGAGTTCAACCCCACACATGGGTGCCCTTGGGTGGGTTCCCATCTACTTCCTGCCTGGTGACCTCAGGCATGTCACGCCACCTTGGTTAGCCTCTGTGTTTTCATCTGTAAGTAGGGTTAACAGCACCTATCTCAGTGGTGGTGTTGTGAAAATTAAATGCGCCTTGTGCATCAAGTTCCCAGACCAGTGTCTGGTGCTTAATGGGTGCTCGGGACATTCCCCCAGTTATGGCTGTAATAATGAAAATGATTTTTTTTTAAATTAAAAATGAAAAGGCAGCTCTAGATGAACAATACCGGAGGCCTTAAGCTCAGTTTTCAGTGGGGCAGTTTCTGGGCTGGCAGACTAAAATTTCCCACAGGATCATGCTTGCCACCTTCCTTTTCCTTAAATAAATGAGTCATGTTTTCCAATGCCAACCAGCACTCGTCATCATCACTTTTAGCTATTTTTCCTAACGTGGTTGTTTCACCTTTGCTTTCATGGCAACTCTTGGGTCAAACAAGAGGTAGAATCTATCCTGAGTTCATTGGCCATTTGCATTTCCCCTCTCTTAGGCACTAATAGTTCACATGCTGCACCCCTTTCCAGGCTGGGGTCTCTGTGATTGTCTTCCTGATTTCAAGGAGCCGTTAATTCAGTCATGGCCTTTTAGCTGCAAGTATTTTCCTTAGGCAGACTTTTGCCTTTTTAGAGTCTGTTTGGGGAAGTATTTTTTTCCCCCAAGTGCAAAAAGATCCACCCAAGCCCTTCATGCAGCTCACAAGAGCCACAGGCTTGGTTCGTGGGTGATGTAAAGCTTGTCTGGGGTGTGCATCCACCTCTTGGCTGGTGACCTTTGGAGCAGTTCAGGGACCTACCTGGGGCAAGAAGGGGACTAGGAAGGAGCTGTCCGGGATGTCCCCAAAAGCAGGATTGGAAAACTGTGAGGGTGACTTCAGCCCACCCATGAGGACACTCTCCAACTTTCCCCCCTTACATGTGTTCTTTGTCCCCTTAGAAAGAGAGCCTTCTGCAGAAAAACCTGAAAGTATTCATGACATTTGCCACAGATACTTTTGGAAATGATTCAAAAATCATGAAAAATCTTAAGGTATGTGAAGCTGTCAAGGGCTTGGGGATCCCTACCTTGACCCTGCCCTTCCTCTGGTAGGAGAGTAGCGGGTCTTGCTTATCATTGAGGAGAGTCTCTGATTGTTTGCTTTGGTCTCTCCCCACAGGAATTCCAGCCAGTGCTGCCCACAGCCACATCCACGGTAAGCTGCCCCCAAAACGCCCCTGAGGTGATGCCCTGAGCCACATCCTGACCCCAGCCTGTCATCCACCTTCCAACCTGGCTTCATCTGATGCCTCCTTCTTTGTTTCTACACAGGAAAATCCAATTTTTATTGAGAAAAACAAATTGGGGGATTTTCGGATGAAATTGGAAGAATATTTGGCTATCATTAGAAACTATCTGAAGTCCAAGAACCTGTGGTTTCCCTAACATCTGAAGTCTGAAGCCCAGTTCCCTCTCTGAAGCCTCAAGAGTATCAGTGACAACAGACTGTCCTAAATTTCTTCGATGTTTCTCACATGGTCCAGGCCTGGAAGAATTTTCTCCTATGGAGTCAGATGAATCATTATTTAATTCCTGAAATGTGTGGCCCCCATTTGTCCTTTTGCAATTATGTTCTCATTTTTAATCTATTGAGATTTATTTATTTATGTATGTATTTATTTATTACCTTGTGCAAATGTGAAGGGTATTTATTTTAGCAGAGGAGCCATGTTCTGCTCCTTCTGGACAAGACTTAAGATGGGGAATTGGGAATATGTTCATTTGTACCTCAGGTTTGAAACTGAGGTACACATCTGTGAAAATAAACTACACTCTCTGAACAAATGCTTTGTTGCTAGTGTCTGTTTGACTCAGGTCTTAGTAACTCTCTCGCCCGATGATTTAACATGCCTCCTTGCACCAAATGGGCCCTTGTACCCACACCCTGGCAATCTGTAGTCCATTGGGGAGCCAGATTGAATTTTAGAAAAGGCAAATGTGATCAGGTTGGTTTATACTTAATTTTCCAGTCCTGGAGGGTCTTCTGGACCTTGTCCAGATTTGCTGTTGTTGTTTAGTCACTAAGTCGTGTCCAACTCTTTTGTGATCCCATGGACCATAGCCCACCAGGCTCCTCTGTCCATGGGATTTCCCAGGAAAAAATATTAGAGTGGATTGCCATTTCCTTCTCCAGGGACTCTTCCTAACCCAAGGATCAAACCTGCATCTCCTGCATTGACGGACAGATTCTTGACCACTGAGTCACCAGGAAAGACCCATACAGAGACGTAGGCCTGATTTCATCTAGCGCTTCTATTTTCCTATTCTCACAGCTACCTATCTTCTCAATACTCCAGGTAACAGAAGTGCTATGGCTTCCTAGGTGAACCACACACTTTTTTTTACACCTCTAAACTTTTACCCACACTGTTACTGCAGCCTCGCATGCCCTGATCCTGATTCAACATGCCCAAGTTCATTATAAAAAGCTGTTTACTTGAAGTAACAAGTAACACTCTGAGTATTTAAAGAGTCCTTTTCCAGTATATTTTCTAATGCCTAGTGAAGCACTGCTGTTGCTGCTGCCGCTAAGTCGCTTCAGCCATGCCTGACTCTGTGCGACCCCATAGATGGCAGCCCACCAGGCTTCCCCGTCCCTGGGACTCTCTAGGCAAGAACACTGGAGTGGGTTGCCATTTCCTTCTCCAGTGCGTTAGGATGCTTCAAAAGGATGAGTGAAGGTAGTAAAAGAGAAGATGCAATCTAGCTTTTGAATTACTAATATAGCAGACTGAAATCTTTCTTATTAAAGAAGACCAGGAATAACGTAATAAAAACAAGTCACTGAGCCAATACCATACTATCCTGATGACTGTAGCTTTGTAGTATAGTTTGAAATCAGGTAAGTTGATTCTTCCAGCTCCATTTTTCTTTCTCAAGACTGCTTTGGCTATTTAAGATAGCTTGGACATGGAACGGAGAAGCCAATGGCACCCCACTCCAGTACTCTTGCCTGGAAAATCCTGTGGATGGAGGAGCCTGGTAGGCTGAAGTCCATGGGGTCACTAAGAGTCAGACATGACTAAGCGACTTCTTTCACTTTTCACTTTAACTCATTGGAGAAGGAAATGGCAACCCACTCCAGTGTTCTTGCCTGGAGAATCCCAGAGACAGGGGAGCCTGGTGGGCTGATGTCTATGGGGTCACACAGAGTTGGACACGACTGAAGTGACTTAGCAGCAGCAGCAGGACATGGAAACAACCTAGACATCCATCAACAGATGAATGGATAAAGAAGCTATGATACATAAATGCAATGGAATATTACTCAGCCATAAAAAGGACTGCATTTCAGTCAGTTCTAATAAAGTGGATGAACCTACAGCCTATTATGCAGAGTGCAGGGAGTCAGAAAAAGAAAAACAAATATTGTATACTAATGCATATATAGGGAATCTAGAAGGATGGCACTAATAAACCTGTTCACAGAGCAGCAATGGAGTCGAAGAGATAGAGAACAGACTCACGACAAGGGTGGGGGAGAAGAGGGAGAGGGTGAAGTGAATGAAGAGAGCAGTATGGAAGCATATGCACTAACACATGTAAACAGACAACCAATGGGAATTTGCTGCATGTCTCAAGGAACTCAAACTGGGCTCTGTAATAACCTAAATGGGTAGGAATGGGTGGGGGTGGGAGGGACATTCAAGAGTGAGGGGGGACAGATGTACACCTATAATTCATTCATGTTGATGTATGACAGAAATCAAACCAATATTGTAAAGCAACCATCAATTAAAAAGAAACAAATATATATTTTTTAAAAGTCAGAAACAGTCTCCTGTATCTTACAAAGGATGTGTAAATGCGTGCAATAATTCTTTTTAAAAAACTTACTATAAAGTGCCTGTGTTTAGGGGATTTGGAATCTTATTGAAAAAGAAAAAATGAATACATGGAAGAACAAAAAACTAGCTGAAATGTTGCATACCTCTGGGTTATTCACACTACTCAAGGACAGAGCCCTGAAAGAGATGGGTGGGCAGGGACCCACTGGGAGGACTGCCACTGTGGCCCTGGGGTGGAACAGACTGATGTGCATGACAGAGGCTGGGACATCACTGAATGTGGCTTCAGTCTGCCACCTGACCCTTGGGGTCCCACTGACCCTTTAGCTCTGAGTGCCTCCCTCTTGGGCTCCCCTGCATCCTGCCCAGTGTACTTTCTCCAGCCTGAGGGTTCAGGGGAGGCGAGGCAGAGCAAACTTCCTCCTGTCGCTATGCTAAGGAGCAATGTCATCCTTTCTGACTCCTCATAAGTCCCATAAAAGCTTTGGGTGCTGAATACCTAAGAGTCTGGCCCTCTACTGGACGCGGGGGATATGGCAGTGACTAGACGGATGGAAGGCGTTCAGGGAGCGTGCTTTAGATTGAACGGCCTTGGAAGGTCTTTCCAAGGAGGTGACATATGAATGACAAGAAACTGCCAGCCACACAGCAACCAGGGAGAAGAGCTCTGGACAGAAAGTACAACAGTTGTTGCCTAGAGATTGAAATGAGCTGAGAGCACCACAGAAGGAAGAGTCCACAATTCTCCCTTGGTCTCTCCCTTCCCTCCTCAAGTCCAAGCCCTGTGTTAGTAACCAGTCACTGCAGGAAGTGGTCAGACAACACAGACTCAGTGCAGAGAGATCCGAGGATGTGGAGTGTGAGGTCAGCACAGGCAGGACCTATGCGTCCTGGGTGGAGGTGACATGCTTGAGAAGTTGTTGTTCAGTCACTAAGTCATGTCCAACTTTTTGCAACACTATGGACTGCAGCATGCCAGGATTACCTGTCCTTTACTATTTCCCAGGGTTTGCTCAAACTCATGTCCATTGAGCCTGTGAAACTTGAGAAGGGGGTGGGCCTTTTTGGATTCTGGGAGGTTCTTCATTGCCCTTCTTGTAGAACAGCCCAGGCTGCTCCAGGCTGAATGGGGATAAACATGAGTCCAGCACACTGTTTTATCCTTGACCCCAAATTGCAGATCCTGCCTGGGTCTAGCACAACCAGGCCCAAGCACAGTCCTGGTCTGTGGCCCAGAACCAACAGGTGGTCAGTTCCCAGTTGAGTTGGGGTATTTTCACGTCATGTCCATCTGCCTGCAGAGAGATGGCTGATAACCAAATGGTATGTCCTGGGTCAATCTCCCGCAGGTCTTAGAGCCTGGCTAGACTGTCCTTAGTGCCAGCTCTATAATCCCAGTTGCCACTAGGGGGCATCAAAGCCCCATCATAAATTGCACAAAGGCCAAGTGAAGGCCAAAGCCTTTCCCAATCCAAGGTGTCTTTTCAGCAGGAAAGTAGATAAAAGGAATTTTATTTCTTATTTTAATTAAAACATATTATGGAAAAGAATCTTAACTATGTGTGTGTATATATATATATATACACACACACACTATATATATAGTATATAGCTATATATATAGTATATAACTAAATCATTTTGCTATACACCTGAAACACTGTAAGTTAACTATTCTTCAATTTTCAAAAATAGTATTTTTTTAATTGCAATGGTAATATGAGAGAAAAAGATGCTCTTTACTGATAAACTTTGGGATTTTGTTTGTTTAAATAAACTTGGAAATACAGAAAATAGAGCAAAAAGAAATTGCCAGGAAGGCAAGTTTCTGAGGCAGGAATTCAGAAAGGCATCACCCACCTACCTCCATGGCGCGAATCCTCTTGTTCCAGGAACAGGCTCTGCTCCCCCTACCCTGGCATTTCACTTAGTTCAGCAAGCACCCTGAAGACCCTCCACAACCTACCCAGGCTGGAGCAGAGGGTTGGGAGAGACACTAGATCAGGCCTGGGGGCTTCTTGGCTATGCCCAGTTTGCCCAGGATGGTGTGGTGCAGGTTATTACATATAGAGCAATGGACAGCTGGGTGTGGATCTCGTCAGAGGTGCTTCTCTCAGGAGGTAATGTGGAGGGAGCTTGAGAAAGGAGCAGGAGTTCATCAGGCAGCCTGAGGTACAGACAGGGATGTCAGACGGATGGTGCCAGGGTGCAAGGGTGTGGCGGTCTGAGAGTATAGGGTGAGCTAGGGGTCACAGGCGGTTAGGTCACTTATAGGACCACAGTGTTGGTGCCCAATGGCCAGGTGGGGACAGGTGCCCCAGAACTCCTTTGGTTACTGCCTTTGTTTTCAGAGTCTGACGACCCTGGGCCCTAGGACCCACCTAATCTCTGGGTCTCAGCCTGGTCCCTCCTCAATTCCTCCCCCTCTCTGCTCAGCCCAGCGCAGCCACTGTGGAGAGAGCAACACTAGACAACCACGCCTGAGGAGTGGGGATTGTATGGAGATGAAGGGAGAGGATGGGGCCACATCACTGTGTTTGGGGCCAATAGGAAGAGCCAAGGCCGAAGGAGAGATGCTGGAGGAAAGAGGGGGATCTCTGGAGCCATGGTGGGAGGCAGGGAGGGAGAGGCAGAGGTTGTGTGGGCCAGAGTGGTGGGTTGAGTTCTCACCATGGGCTGGGCTTCAATTTTTCTCCTTGAAAACCTCAGGTCAGGCTCATGCCCACTGAGGCACAGGAGCCCTTTAAGTCTGGTCCAGAGACCACCCGGAATCTCTCCCCTGACTGAACCCAGGCCTCTAGAGGTACCTACTGCCTACTGGCTCCAGCTTTAGGGGTGCACAGCACAGCTACAGTGCTTCAGTTCCATCCTCCATTCACAGAACCACCACATGCTTATCACCAAAATCTTCTACGTGACTATTTATCCCTTCTCCTACCCAGCACACCCCCACTCTCCACGTCTGCACACAGTGGGCTTAGATCCATGCTT